ATTATTTGTTTTTAGTCACTGTTGTCAGTTTCTGTTGCTGTTGTAGTTTGCAGATGCTGGTTTTAGTCATTTTCAGTCACCGTTTTGGGTCATTAGTTGCTGTTTTTAGTCGTTTACAGTCACTGTTTTGGCAGTTTTCATAATGACAATAAAGCTTTTCTATTGGACAGCTTCTAGGGTTGGACTTTTAAAAACGTACTATTCATTTAGTCCTTTTGTTTATTTACTTCTGTGTTTTCGAGGTCTCTTTGAGCCCTAAAACCTTCTCAGTCTTCTTGGTGGTCATAATCTGAGGACCTAAAAACATCTACAATAGAAATCTGGTCCCTTTTTCCTGAAGCTCCTGAGGTTCATGTTTTTTTGGACTTTTTGTGCAGATGATCAGAACATTCATCTTGTTTGTAAAACCGTCATAATAACTAAAGTAATGAGATAAATGTGGAGGACTAAGACGTAGAAAGTTTTGAAATCTTGAATAAAACTGAAACAATGAAAAGAAAGTAAAAAAAAAAAAACGTCAGAACTTTACTTGAGTAAACTTTTACAGTAATTGTACTTTCCACAGTGGGTTTGTGGCTTTGTTGACCTCAGAACGCATCGGTACCGTCGAGACGAACCAGCTCAGGCTGATTTATGGGCTCAGAATAGAAGGAGGTTTGTTTTGGGGACAATCTCTGCAGACCAGCGGGTCTCGTCCAAACACTCTGCTCGGCCTCCTGTTTACTCTCCGCTGGCGTCGGCCCAACGTTGTCGCTCAGCGCCGACGTCTGATTGGTGCAGAGGAGCCTCAGGAAGTCCATTGTGACCCACGGAGCCGAGCAGGACCGAACACTCTGGCTGTAGACAGAATATCTAGAAGTCGATCTTTAGGCTTTAACACATCAGACTTCTGAAGAAAATAACGTTTCCACACAATGAAACTGCCTCGTTCTCCACCGTCTGAAGGAACCAGGAAACCTTAGAGCAACAAAACAAACGCAGTCCAAGATTTTATTATTGTTGTTTTTTAAACTTACAGCAGGTTTTTTTTTTTTTAACACATTGAAATTTGAGGCGACAGTATCTCATTACAGCCTGAACATGACTTTTATTTTCATTTTAATTCTGTTTTCATATTAGATTAGGCTCAACAAAAACAACAACAAGTATTTCATATTACAGTATTGTGTGTGTTTAGTTTTGTGTTGTTGTGACCTGCAGCTACGTCTGCTTCACAAACTATGACCAGCTGAATCCTGCATCCTTTATTTCTTTGTTAATGTGTTAACGATGAGACTTTTTGTGACGGTTTCAGGTTTTTCTTCATATTTCATCCCACCTGTGATCAGATCATTTCATCTCCACGTCCAGTCTTGCAGATGAACAGAGAAAGTTTCAGGTTTTATTCTTTAATAGTTCCTCAGATGTTGTCGCTCAAACCGCCTCAGAAACAACCTGCAGACAGCACATTAATAAAACATTAATCTAAAACCTCACAGATTTTAAATGTCCATCGTTTATAATACCAAAGTTTCAAGCAGATCCGAGGCAGTCGTGCGTTGAGCGTTTTGAGCAGAAACGTGATTCCGTTTTTACATTTTCTCAGCGGTGACGTCGTTGGAAAGGGTTAAAGTGTTATTTACCGTTTGAACGTTGGGAGCGTTGAAGTTAGCGGCTAGCTGCGCTAATTTATCCACGTGGCTGCAGAAGAAGCTGAAAGTCGCACGCTGGATTGTGAGGATTTCATTTATGTTGTTTTTAATTTGTGTCGTGTTTAATTTGCAGAGTCGGTTTCTGTCGCACATTTTTATTTCTAGCTGCTGTTTGAAATCATTTTCACTCACTGTTTGTAGTGGTTTTCTGTTTTCGTTGATGTTTTCAGCCATTTCATTTTTTCTGCGGCATTCTCAGTTTAAATCACAGTTTTCTGTCGTTTTCAGTCACATGCTCGATCAGTTTTAATCACTTCTTTATGTCATTTTCAGTCACTGTTTTCAGTCGCTCCTGCTGTTTTTGTCATTTTCAGCCATTTTCATTCCTTGTATTTGGTTGTTTTCAGTTGGATGCTCAGTTAGTGTTGGTCATTGTTTGTGTCTTTGTCTTTTTCCGTCTTGTTGGATTCTGAGGTTTTCTTAGACGTTGAAAGCTTAACTTATGTCGTGTTTAATTTGCAGTCTGTTTTTGTTGCACATTTTCATTTTTAGCTGCTGTTTTAAATCATTTTCAGTCAGTGTTTTTAGTCGTTCCTTTTCATAATCTGCAGTCGCTGTTTTTGGTCGTTTTCAGTCATTTTTCGACACTTTTATTCCTCAGCGACGTTCTCAGTCCGTGTTATTCGCTGTTTTTGGTCTTTCATTTACGTCTCTTTCTGTTTATGTCGCCAGTTTTAGTCGTTTTCAGTCATTTTCAGTCACTGTTGTCAGTCGCTCTATTAGTAAGCTGCAGTTTCATTTCACTTTCATTTCTCTGCGACATGCTCAATTAGTTTTAATTGCTGTTTCTTTTTTTTGCTTTGTTTTCAGTTATAGTAATTTGCTGTCGCAGGTTTTAGTCATTGTCAGTTGTTGTCAGTCGTTAATTTGAGGTTTTATTATTTTGCAGATGCTCGACGTTTCCCAGGTTTAAGTTCAGCCATTTTTAACCGCTGCTTTCAGTCATGGCGTGTTCTGAGGTTTTCATGGACGTCAAATGCTTCATTTACGTCGTGTTTAATTTGCTGAGTCTGTTTCCGTCGCGTGCTTTGTTTTCATCAACATTTTTCCACGTTAAAGAGGAAATAAAACTAGTTGGAAACGAGTAACTTTCTGCTCTTCCGCAGTAATTGCTCCGTCTTTTAAACTGTTCCACCGATTTGCCTCGAGCATCTTTTCACCTGCCCTCCGTCTCCACATGCTGAACCAATCACAGCAGGCCTCTGGTCGAATTTTAAACAGAGCTTGGACTCATCTGTCGGGATTTATTTTGGCTTTTTTTTTTTTTCGGGGGGAATAATGGACGAGTATCTGCACTTCACCCCGAGGCATTTTCAGAGCCAACACTGGATGCTGAACGAAACCCAGAAACGCTGCAGCGTCTCCGGGTGTTGCGCTAAAGTCCTGCTGAGTCAGTCCCAAACCCTCGATCTCGTCCCCGAAGAGCTGATTAGTGTTCGAGGACCCGGGAAGGATGGCGATGTTTCCTAAAGGCCCAGAATAGAAACCTGGTCCTGCTGACTGAGTTTAAACCTCAGCTCAGGCTGTTTTGACTGTTCTGTCCTTCTGCAACGCTCTGCTTCACAACACAAAGACACGACTGGACGACTCCCAGGACAAACAGAAAGCACCTCTGTCTGGAATAATAAAGGAAAATACGTAGATGTTTTAGACCTTCCCCAGCTTTAATAGTGTTTAGAAGTCTAATCTGACATCAAAACATTGTTTTAAGGACATTTATTGATTCAAATAACGTTCCTATGAGGTTAAAATTTAGACAAGACAGAACATATTAACATTCACAGCATTTTTTCCAGATATAAAAGCGTTCCTGTAATGCAATTTATCAACAAAGATGTAACATTATTTCCTATTTGATGTTGCTGAGCCAGACAACTGAGCTGCAGCAGTTGCATTTAAGCTAGTTTTGGCTATCTAGTCGCGTTAGCTAAAGCCGACGTATTCACTTCCTGCTGTTTCCTTATGCTTGAGAACGTAGCTTTCCGTCTCCAACACAGAAAATGTGTTTTTCATACCAAAGAAGTGAGACAATGCTTCAAAGAAAATTGGGAAAAAGCAACTATGCTAATAGCCAACTAGCCTAGCTTAGCGGAGTGGCACTAACTAGCTACTTTCTGTGTAGCCTTTTATGGAATTCATGTTATTTGCTGTCGTTCTGTCACGTTTGACTTGCACACTTTGAAGTTTTATTGGTTATGGTGTTTATAAAGGCAGCTATGCTAATATCTAACTAGCCTAGCTTAGCGGAGTGGCACTAACTAGCTACTTTCTGGGTAGCCTCTTATGGAATTCATGTTTTTTCCTGTCGATCTGTCACATTTAACCTGCACACTTTGAAATTTTATTGGTTATGGTGTTTATAAAGGCAGCTATGCTAATATCTAACTAGCCTAGCTTAGCGGATTGGTACTGAATAGCTACTGTCTGTAGCCTTTCATGGAATTCATGTTATTTACTGTCGATCTGTGACGTTTAACCTGCACATTTTGAAGTTTTATTGGTTATGGTGTTTATAAAGGCAGCTATGCTAATATCTAACTAGCCTAGCTTAGCGGAGTGGCACTAGCTAGCTACTTTCTGGGTAGCTTTTCATGGAATTCATGTTATTTACTGTCGATCTGTGACGTTTAACCTGCAAACTTTGAAGTGTTACTGGTGATGGTTGTTAATAAAGGCAGCTAAAAACATAAATACAGTGATTTTAGATAGTTTTTCAAGAAACTACACTCAGTGTTTAAACATGTGAAATGTCAGTTGGGTTTTGAATGAGGTTTTGTTTCCTCCCATCGCTGACCTGGCAGACATCAGGCTTCATAATGCTCCACATTCCTGTACTTTTAGTTAAATGGGATCATATTACGGACGCCTTAAATGTTTTAGCCTGGGGCTGGCAGAGAAATGAAACCTGTTGTTGTGGGACTGAAGCTAATTTCCCCTTTTCCACTGAACTCCTCTGCTTCATTCGTGCTGGTTTCGTTTCCTTTTACGGAGGGGAGGCCCGTCAACATTTTCACTTTGTCTTTGACGGTTAAACCAAATCAGCTTCTTTTGTTTTCTTCATCGAAAGCTTGCGGTCTGAGCTTTTGTCTGTCTGGAGCTTCTCATTCACATCGCACAAAACGACTGCTGATCCAGACAAAACTAGTTTTAAAAAAAATAAAAAATTAAATCCCAGTCAGCCTTTTGTCCAATCTCAGCACTACAAACGCCGGAGTGCTGGTTCGCTCACCAAATTCTTGAGTGTTGATGGAAAAGGTTCCCTCTGTGATTTCACTGCCTCAGCAGCTACTGGTTTGGCGAGATAATTTTCCGTCTGGTGAATCCATTATTAGCCACGAGTGCTGGATGTGCGGTGGGAGATATCAGCAGCAGATGTGGAGCTGTGGATTTAAAAGAAAGAAAAAAAAAACCTCTCTTGTGTTTCATGTTTCTGCTGAAGTCTGAGGGAACATGTCTGGAAAAAAAAAGAAAGAAAGAAGTCGTTTTGCTGTGTGGAGTTTCAGAATAAGACTTTAGGGTTCTGTTTTCCAAAGTAAAAGTCGACATGATGGAGAACATGACGACAAAAGATGCTTCTGCAGCTTTCTGTTGTTTGTCAAGAATCCTCGGAACCCCGAACTGGTTCCACAGAACGTTTTATAAAGTTCCTGTAATGTGATGTATTAAAGGTAGAACATTTGCTGTTGTTGCTGAGGGAACACATCACAGAACGTTCTTTTGTGAGGCATTTCCACAACGATAACAAAGGAAGAATGTTCTCAAGACCTTAGACAACAGAACATTCCTTATAAGACGTTCTTGTACTGCGATATATGAACAAAGGTGGAACATTTTCGCTGAGGATATATTAGGAATGTTGTTGAAGGAACTTTTTATGGAACATTTTTCTGTGTAAAATGCCCACAATGTTCCACGCTAACAAAGGAAGAACGTTCTAAAACTAGCACTCAGATGTTATCGTGGCCTCGGATGACAGAACGTTCTTTACACACCAAACCTGGTGGCAGCATCATGCTCTGGGGCTGTTCTGCTACTCGTGGAACTTTACACAAAGTAGACTGAAGTAAAACCATCAGCAGAAGGTTGATCTTGGACTAGGTTGGATGTTCCAACAAGACAATGAGCCCAAACACACATCAGAGTGGTGAAGACATGGTTCCATCAGGCTGGAATGAAGGTTCTAGACGTGTCCTGACTGAAACCATCAAGAACCTGTGGACTGATGAAGAAACAAGTCAGAAATGTGGTTCAGTGGTACCAAGAGGAGGGTCAAAGATAGAAACCAGAGACTTGTGGAAACCAAAAGTAGAGGTGAGAACGCCCAAAGACGTTTCACCCAACATGAGAGCTGCTGCGAGTATATTACTGACCCAGCACATTTTAACAGATTTCCAGAGGATCTTTATTAAATCTATAAAAGAACCAAAAGCGTGACTGTTTTGTGGACAAAGGCTGGTGTTTAAATGGTTCCGTCATCGTAGGTTAAGAGTTGAACGACTCATTGGACAGTCACGACCGCTATGCGTCTGTAGAAGTGGACGTGAGGCTGAATACGTCGATTACGTCGCCTCCAACCGGAAGCTGCTGCCGAAACGTCGTCCCGACATCGTCTCATTTTTATCGTACTCGGGTGTTAAATCTGTTTCTAGAAGCCTCCTCTTTCTGTCGCTGCTTGAATCCATGTTTTGACGCCGGTTGTGTCGCCGCTGGACGACCTCTCGGAGACGATCTGTGTTTCCATGTGTGGGAAAGAAAAGAATGTTTCTGAACTATATATATATATATATATATATGTGTGTGTGTGTGTGTTGTGTTTGTTCTTCATTAGAAGTTCCAGATTTGGACTTCAATAATACGAACCGCGTCCAAGAATGTGTTTCTTTTAAAATCCCCGAAATAGACGAAGCTGTTATTTCAGTCAGTTTGAGTTACTGCGTTTGTCTTTGTGTCTTTGCTCGACCTGTAAATAACATCGCCCCCTCCAGGGAGGCCGTCACCAGCCAAGCCAGCTTCCCTCATTAGAATTTAATGCAGACTCATGTTGGAAGCGTCCTTTTGTCCTTCGCCTTCCTTCTGCTCTCCCCCTGATTCGTTGAGAAAACCTCCTTTCTGTGATGAAGGCGTCGTGAGTCAGACTTTGGGGCTCCGCTGAGGATGAATCACGACGGCTGTGGTTGAATTCTTGTAAACCTGAGCTGACTGATACGATAAATACTGTCGATACCATCGGTTCTGACTTCAGACTGGACTCAAGTTAACTGTTTATGGACTTCAACAACGAAAAAGCTTCTGAAAATAAATTGATTTTTAAGTTTCTTCCTTCTGAGCATTAACTCAGAAACAAACTGCTTACTGTAATTATCTATAATTATTTATCACAATTATTTTTTTCATTTAGGAGCAAAAATATTTTTATTTCCCTATTTTGTTGACATTTAACTCTCTGAACCCCAAAACCCTCCAGAGGGTTCAGAAGGCATGTTGGCGTTACCAATTATTATTATTATTTATTTGTTTATTGTTATTTTTTAATAACAGTAAACATGTAGATTAATACTTGTTTCTGTGGTTTTACTAGAAATCTGTAATTTAATGTCATGGGAAAAATGTAAAAAAAAAAAAAAGGAAAAATTCATTAAATATGAATAAATATATATTTTTAAGTCATGTACATCATTTTTCTTTCAAATAACAGCAAATATCTATAAAAATAATTTAAGAAATGTTAGAACTTTACAGCTTCACATATTAAATATCAAATCACTGTTTATTCTAAACAGCTTATTTACATTATTTACACTATTGTCATATATTGACATTACAACTTTATTTCAGTTATTTTACTCGACATTATTTGTATATTTAACAAAACAGAGGAAATCTGCAAAATAACAGCAAATTTAGGAAAAATATTCAATATTTTTGTTCCTCATGTCATTTTGCTTTTTACATAACAACAAAAAAACAAACAATATTGTTTTTGCTGAAGAGAAAAAGTGTAATTTTACAGTTTTAAAATATCAAATCATCATTTATTATAAAAAATGCAAATTTTTGTCGTGGACACTTAAAGTTTTTACCATTTTTTTCTTTTGTTGTTTTTTTTTAACATTTAAATGTTTACTTTTGTTTGTAGTTTTACTTT